ACCACTCTGCAACCGTTTATGGCTGTCCGCTGCTTGGCGGTCTCCATCTCGTATGACATGCACAAACGCATTAAGATTAGACTTAATTTCAATATCACTCAACGTTTTGGCGTAAAGATCAACAGCAGACAACGTTCGATCGCCCAGCCGCTTTTTTAGCAATGATATCATTGTGCGCGAATACAGCTCGTGTGAATCGTGAGTTTTACACCCCGACGATCAGTTACACGGGCAATTTAAGAGAAATAAGAATAAAATCAATGATCATAGATGCTTAAGCTAGAATTAAAGTCTATATTTATGTCGTACTATAAAGGTATTAGGTAGTGTTAGGTAAGCGTCAAACACTTAGCAATCGCCGGCATGTTTATGTTTTTTTTTTTTTTTCGAGAATTTATCTTTTATCAATAAACAATAATATTATTAAGATTACGCGGGGACATTATCAGTTGTGATCACAGATTTACCTTTTCATATTCTGTGGATTTACAGACTAACACATTATATTTTATACAGGGACGTTGGTCCATTCTCGGCATTCTCATAACTTAAATCCATGCTGTTGATCTACGTATAACAGCAGCAAGAGCCATTATCACTTAACAATACTTTATCAGTGTCATGATAGATATTATCACAGAATAACCAGAAAGGACACTTTTTGAGCACTCAAAACTTTGTTCAGTTTGTTGGAATATCAGCGTATCCATTAATTAATCAAACTTTTTTTAACTTTTTAAAATTCTCTTTGTCTAGTCACACTGATTTGCTAATAATACTTACATATATTTTTAATGGTCTATAACATTTTTGGAATAACAGTCTCGCTTCAAAAAATAGAATAATGGGAAATATATTTTTACCGACAGCACTGATATTCCAACAGGTATTGTAAATCCGCATCCCATAAAAACCCGATAACCGTATTGAACTCAAAAAGTGTGTGTCCATTCAGTTATTCTGTGATATAGTCCAGTCCACAGACAGTATATTATTTTGTCCTTTAGATCATATTATAGTATTATACAATATTGTATATTTGTATGTGATCTAAGACTGTATAATTGAGTAGACTTCATCAATTATATGAAATAAGTGTTTCCTCCTATAAAACCTCATTTTGTGGTATAATTATATAATAATAATAAATAATACAATTAACAATAGTACTATAGAAATAAACATATACTGACGTGTATAAAGAATTCATAGCAATCAAAAGTCTATTAAAAGAAAAATACTTGTATTTTCTCAATAAAAAAAAAAAAATACTAAGTACCTATATTAAATAATAATATACATAGAAAAAGAAAAATTTCCTTGCAAAATATATTTAAAAAAAATTTTTAATATTAAACTAAATATAGTTTATTTAAGTTTTGTAAAACTTACAATTAAAAATAGAAGTTCCAAGTTATCAGTTTTGGTTCACTAATTTACTACGACCATCTAAAATTTAGTAAATTTTAATTGAAATAGTCGGAATAATTTTAATTTTCTAGAGCTGAATATTATTTATTTTTACAATATTCTAACAAAATAAATATTCATATTTTATTCACTGCTAAATTTCTATATACTTTGACATTATATTATATAATGTTTTTGTTTTTTAAACAGTAATTGAAATAAATAATAGTATTTTATATTTTTAGTTTTTAATTTAAGGTTAATATTACTTATGGTTGAAAGTTTTGTAAGTTTTTATTATATCTAATAATTATTAATAAACATGTAAGTCTTGTGTGATTTAGCTACTCTTTGTTACATACCTAACTGTATAAGTAATACTTTTAATATAATTTAATTAATTAAAAACAATTACATATTATTATTTCTCAAACATATTAAAATAAATTTGATGACAGTTAATATTTACAAGACTGCTTTTGAAATATAATAAATCTTTTCCTAAACAATAAAAAAAAAAAAAATGTTTTCAATTAAAATGTTTACAAGTTGTACGCATTTAGAGTATCTATCTGGACATCACATTATATAACTCATGTATTCTCATAAAATATAAAACAATAGTACCTACTTAATATTCCTCTTCCAGAAATTGTTTATAACCAAACTTAGAGGTGAGCAAATTTTACTTATACAGAAATTAATAAACTTTAAATTACATCACAAATATCATTCCTCAATTTCATGATATATTTATTTGTATTACTTTCTGTTTTAATCACAGTCTTTCAATTTGAGAAGTCTTCCAATATGTTTCTTCCCTCTTATTTATGTTGCTAATACTAGTATAATGATTTTTCTACCTTAGAAAAAAACCAATGCTAAATTTTTAACTTTGGAGGGGTCCAAAGATGATTTATATTGGATTATGTTGGAACCTTTTAAAAAATGCCATAAAGTATTTATTTTTATTGAAAACAAATTTATTCTTAGAATAACCAGTATTTTACAATAACAAAGGTTTTAAAGCTTGCGCATACAGGTATTGCACACTATGTCAATAAAAGTGATAATAAAATCTAATTAAAGTTAAATATGATTACATATAATAGAAATAGATGAAATTTTAATTAAAAATTATGTATCATCATTTTTACTATTTTGATTCTGATAAGTAGATAACCAAGAAGTTGGAACCCAAACAAAAGTTAGATATTTTAATATTTGGTTTAACTAGCTAATAATTTAAAGTATGTAAAATAATGTCAGTTTTTGAATAGTTTTTTCATACATTACCTAATTTTTAATGTTTCAATGTTTACATAATAAAACAAAACTAATTAAAAAAACATGTATTCTATTTCATATACACAATTTTTTCAACCCACATATTTTTTTAATATCTTGAACACAAATGAGAACATTTTGATATCATCATCAAATTTTGACATTCTATTTATTTATAAGGACCAAAGATAATAATAATAATAATAAAAAAAAACGAAAAAAATATTTTAACATCCTTGACATTTATTATAAAGGCACATATAACTATAGTAAAACTCCTACAATGTAAATATTGCAACACAAAAATATGCCACTTATAATATCGTGTCCTGTAATTAATACTTTTGCATCAAAATTCATAATAATTAATAACAATAAAACGTTACATTTTCATAGAAAAAAAAACAATACATTCATTTCGATTAGAAAAGACCGGCCATGACTAGAGAGATGAGTATAAAATAGAGAACAGCATACTAATGCATTAATTTCGGTTTTTATGGGAATTTCGTATACAGTCAATAATAATTAAGAAATCGAACAAATAAAAATTAAGGTTTTAAACAAACCACAATATGCCTTACATACATATGATGATAAAAGGTAGTTGGACACAATATTTTTTTCCATGTGAAAACTTAAACGAAACAAAGCATATATTTAATTTTTAATAAAATCTACGTAAGTCAACCAGTGATACAGTTACGTAAATTGTTATTTAAAACTTAACTAAAATAATAAAATAAACACAATAATTATAAATTAACTGTTGTATGTTAGAACTTAATTTACTATTAATTTGTTAAGGAAGTGTACCGCATCTCCCATGAAACGAGAAAAAAAATTAACAAAGTAATAATACGGCACAATCTTTAAACCAAATAAAAAACTACTTTGTATTTTTTTGAATATCGGGTGCTAAAAAATCAAAGTGAAATTAATGTGCAATCATAATCATAATAATAATAATAATAAAAATAATATAAATAATAATGTTAAAAAATTGTTGGGTAAAATAATAAATTAATAAATGTAAAGAGGAAAAGCAATGAAGAGAAACATAGTTTAAACAACAAATAACACTTATAAATAGACATATTAAACTAGAAGAAAATATAATGTACAAGAAATTAATTTTAATTTTTTTTTTTTTTTTAATTGATTTATAAGTTTTATTTACTCCTAATTTTTTTTTTTTTTTTTTTTTTAATTAATTTTCAGATTATTGGAAATAAATTTGATTCCCTATACCATTTTAGAAGAACAATTTAGACTATAATATTTATTTAATTTGGATTTTCAACAATTATTAAAACTGTTAACACTTTAAATTAAACCTGGAATATATAATTTTGTTTTGCTATCAGCAAATATATTTTAGTATGTATAAAAAACATGACAAACTAGAGATCATTTGGGTACAATAAAATTGTTTCTGTGAACTCACTATTTGAGGAAATCAATAACACATATGTTGAGTTAATATACAATAATAAAATTATAACTTAAAAAATATGATATACATAATATTAAATAAACACATAATCCATTATTATAAAATCAAGTGGTTCATTATAATATTAATTATTAATAGGTAATCTAAAAAATACTGTTAAATTTTAAATTGACTCTTAGAATATATTAGGGAAGAATTTCGGGCATTATTTGCATTTATTTTTAAGCACATAAATCTGATCTTAATTGCTCATTTAAATATAAAATAAATATTCAATGCATTATTTGGTTAAAATATTGTAACGAAATTTAATTGAAAGATATCAATACAATTAGAGAAAAAAAACTTGAAATGAGAATATGTATAGCTATAAAGCTCACAAAAATCAATTTGAAGAATTATCTATACTTACTATACAGGGTGACGTATAGGCTTGAATAAATCACTGATATAGATTTTGGTTGTCCAAATGGAAGACCTATAAATTCTGTCAAGAACAATTAATTATAAAAAAACATTTAATCGCAGAAGTATAAAAATGTTTACATGAGAAAATATTTGCAATAAACTTCATGTCGGTACATTGAATGAGCAAAATATTTGAATCACTTAAATTACAAAATTAAAGATTATCTCATATTAAGAAATGATAACACAGCTTAAAAAATCATTCAAACATATAACCTCTCATTGTTTCAAAATGTATATATTATTCAGTGCTTGAAACACAGCTTCATCAATCACCCTGTATATATATATATATTATATAGTTTTAAAAATATATTTATATTTTACTAATAACTGTTATAACTATCTATTTATTAGCCATAAAGAAAAATATTGCTCCTACCATATTATATCTAACACCATAGGATTATTATTTAAATAAAATCTCAACATAAGTTTTTTTAAATTCTAGTTTCAACACTAGACTTAAAAAATCCTTTTTCTGTTTTACATTCTCTTATTGTCACAGTGTTCAAATTAACTGTAACATCAGTAATAAAAACATTATCTACAACCGGATTACGTGCAAGCCAATACTCAGGACCAGGATTTGCCAGTATCGTTTTGTACTGTAAGCGCTGAGTAGGAGTTTCAGCAACAGATGCTGTGTCAAGTACCTGATGCTGACCTCCAGCACCTTGAGTTACAGCAGTTGCAGCATCTTCTTGTGGCCTAGCTGGTTCACCAGATGTCCGGGAACTGATGGGCGCTGCTGCAGCTAAAGTATCTCTTGACTTTACACTTGTAGGAGTACTTTGAAGAATAGCTGTCAGGGTTAAATGTTGATTTTCAGGTGCTGGGGAAATTTGATTTGTCAAAACTGCAGGAACTGCATGTTCTGATGTTTTTCGTTTAGGAGTTCTTCCGCCATCTTGAGTAGGTGCTACTGAAGGCAAATTATTGATGTTTTGAATATTGGTGGGAGATTGTAATTTGGGCACTTTAGAATCTGTCATAGGAGGACTGGTAGTTATAGTTACACCAACTTTACCAGATTCTTTAGACAAAACCTCTGCTTTGCGTTTGACTTTATGGGGTTTGGGTAAAGGTGGAGGTGATTTGGAAGACTGCTTCTGTGTAGATGGTACTAGAAGTGAAGGTGTGGGTTTCACTATTGGAGATAATTTTTCTTCTTCTCGTGTATCATTTACTTCTATGACTGGTGTCTTGTTTTCCTCACTTATCTTTTCTTCTTTCACTTCAACTTTTACAGCTGCATTTAACTTTGGCATTTCTGCCAATGAATCATCATCAACTGTAAAAAAAAAAAATATTAGAAAACCTGTTTTTGAATAAACAAATAACACTTTTGATATATGTTATTTAATAAAAATTGTAATTTTTATTTAGATACATCTGGACCATTTTTTAAATTTGCACTACGGTAAACAAAAGTAAATAATAGATTTGAAAAAAAATATTTAAAGGGTTATGTCTTTTAATAAAATAACTTATTGTTTCATTAATTATGATCTAAACACTAAATCAAAGTATTATTCACAAATACTTTAATATGTACATTGTAAAAGTATAGTAAAAACATTTAAAAATATACTTGTTTTATCTTCTTCGGTGTCATCATCATGTCTGGGCAATAAAGGTGCACCATTAGTAGACTCTGGACACACTTCGACTTCATCTTGGCTGTTATAATCAGGTACATCACCATCGGCAGTTTCATCTTCATAGTCACTTCGGGTAGGTTCTGTAGTTGGTGTTTCAATATGTGCCTAGAATTTGCAAAAGTATAAAAATGTGCATTATAATAAAAACCTTATTATTTTTTAATAACTTACATTTTGTGTTTTTCTTTTAGGACCTCGTTTATGAGAATTATTATCTGTGCGTGTTTGACTAAAAAATAAAGATGATAGGTAAGTAGATAAAAATAATTAAATGCATTTTAAAGAATAGAAAGTACTTTCATAGAATTATATTAAAGATAAATAATAGAAAAAATACCTTTGCTCAAAAATATCAATAAGTCTGGTGTCAATAATGTTTTCTTCAGGTTCCCAAGTATTATGCCTAAATATATTTAAAACGGATATTAATATAAAAATTAAATAATTTTGTATTTATAATACATACTTAGGTCCCCATCCTTTCCATTTTACATGATATTCAACTCTGCCCTAAAAATAATATAAAATTATTAATACAAATAGCAATAACAACATTGACAGTTTCATTTAGGTACTACTTAATTATACATTTAATTTAATTTATATTCACATTTTCAAAGGAAAATATATTTTTAATGAAAGGGTTAGTATAATATGGTTGATTCATTTAGATTAAAATCTTTTGTAATGAATTTTAGCAAGTTTGTTCACCATTTTTAAATTTATCTCATTATGGAGGGTTGCATTTATTATATACCACAAAGAATCTGTGATAAATCTTAAGGTAATTAACTGAAAAGCTTAAATTGGATGAATGTTAATGAGTTAGCATGGTAGACTTAAGTAGATGGAGGCATAAGTTAAGTAATTTTTATTTTCGTTTACTGTAATTTGACAAAGAGATTGTTAGACCCACATTTATAGTTTCTGTCATACAAGTTCATAACATAGCAAATCTATGTTCAGCAGTTTGTGTTTAACTTAGTTAGCTTCAATATTGGAGAAAATCAACCTGTTATAAAACTCAAAGATAAAAACTTTATCTTATGTTCGGTTGTAGTATTTTAAAGATAATTAATATTTTATTGAGTTTTGCATACATAAAATATAGCAGTTTAAAAATTCTTATAACTCACTTAAAATGGAATTATTATAAAAAACTTATATACAAATATAGAATAAGTTTTAAAATAAGTCCATTCACTACAATATTACAGCTAATAAAACTACACTATAGATTACTATAGACTTGCTATGTTATACACTTATAAGACAACAAATGCAAATGTAGTATGTTATCTTAACCTTATATCCAGAGTAAATCTACAGTATATATTGTACCTAATCATAAATAAATTTATAATTGAAACAAAAAGTATGAAAATTAAAAATAAATATTAAGCTCGTGATAAAAAATCTAATAAATATTAGTGTTATTATAAGAAGACTTATAACAGATACAAATAGAAAAGAGAAAATTACCCAGAAAATTATTAGCATTTTAAGATACTAACCAAAATATATATCAAATGCAATACTTCTAACATCTCTTTAAAATATAAAAAAGTAAATATCTACAATCTATACAGTCTATCAGTATTGGCACAATTAACCGAAACATTTTGAGTTCTATCAAAATTAACAACACTATAAGTTATTACTATAGTTCTCAAACATAGTTTGAACTATAATATAATTCATATTTACTAGCTTTACAGCGGCTTGGAATTGAGTTAAAAAAAAAAAAAAAACACTATTTAAAATTTGTGAGAGTTAAGCTTTGAATTTTATAATTATTTGTCTGAATTGAGTTCTGAACGAGATTCTGAGTTTAATAATAATATAATATACTAGTAAGTCCCAAACTTTATAATAATATATGTTAGTTGAGTCCCAAGTTTTATGATAAATGTCAGTTGAGTCCCAACTTTTATAATATATGCTAGCAGAGTCTCAAGTTTTATAATAAATGTCAATTGAGTCCAGACTTTTATAATAATATGTTAGTTGAGTCCTGACTTTTAAAATAATACACACTAAAAAAAAAAATTAGTCATCAAAAATTTGTAAAACTTTTGTGTAACAATTTAATCCTATTATATTGTAATATTTACTACTAGATACATTAAATGTTACAACTAATAGTAAAATTTTTGAATTACTAAAAATAAATTTTTTTTAAATAAGTAAGAAGCTACTAATATAAAATTATAAAGTAAAACTACAGAAGTATAGAAAAAATAAAAAATAAATTTTAATGATATTTAGGTACTCATATTTATAATAAAAGTGTAGACAATCCTAAGTTACTGTATTTTACTATATTGTAGTAAATAGGTACATGCTTAAATGAGAAGGAAAATGTTGTTTTAATTAGAACAGTTATATTTAACACCTATAAGAGACTCAATTGTTATAATCAGTTTTTTTTCCTGAGGATCAATTGTATGCTTTTTTAGTTAATATCTAAATACTACCGGACATTTTCAAAATTATGATTAGAAATATTCTAATAAAGATCAAATTTAAAATTGGTCAAATATTCACTGTCTAAATTATCAGGGTTTACTTTCTAAAAAAGATAATACTAGATGGGTGTAATATATACCTGTTTTATCAGTATAAAAGTACAATTTCAAGTAATAAGAAATAATAGTTATTTAAATATTAGGCATGATGATCACTATAAAAATATTATAAAAGCAGTTATAAACCATAAGTATTTAATACTCTTTTATATGGACTTCTCAAAATTTTAATACTCGACCCAGTTAACGTTAACAACAAAAACAAAATCTAGACAAGTCAACAATAAATAAATGCCTTGGAATTATAAAAGGTATAACCAAAACGGTGGTTAACAACAGCACAGATATGACCCGATAGCATACAAATGGATTACTTAAAGTTCATCAAATACGGGTGACAGGTGAATCATGACCAAGGAAGTCGACTAGTGAAGTACGGAAGTTCGAAAAAGTAAGTACACAAAAAGAGCGCGCAAGTTGTTATCAGAAGTTGGAACTAGATAGGTTTAGAGTGTGAGACATGTCTCCCGCGTAGATGAAGGACAAGGCAAGACTTACCTTCCTGACACGCTTTTTCATAAGCTTTTCAGCCGCATACACTCGGTCGCCCATTGGTGAAGATTAGACTGCACACGACGTAATCGAGAAACAGCAAAAATTACGTAGGGCGACGGACACACGCGACAACGACGATGACGGACGCAACAAACGGTAAACGTTGACGGCGGCAGCAGTGACGGCGAAGTTGACGGACGTCCTCCTCCTGACGACGATAGGCAACGGTCAACAACGGCGGCAAAGATAAGTTCAATAATAATCATAAAAAATAAAAATAAAAATAAAAACGAAATTTTAAAATTAAAAAAACTCTACATGTGTACACTTAAAAGATTAAATAAATAACAATTAAACGCTGTTCACGGACGTCAAAATACCGTACACGGCGGACGGTTCATAGCAATTATTCTGTTTCGACACGAAAAATAATATTAAGCAGTAACATGTAAACACAACAAATATTTACGTCGCACGCACACGCACGCGAATCACAACGTAAAATGCGGTGTGACCAACCGTATCCGGTGTGCGCCGCGACCACCACGTTTCGAAACCGGAAAATAAAATAAAAAATATGTTATTCAACACGGGCGGCGCAAGTCGGCAACGACAGCAGTGTTGCTGTATCCTATGCCTTAGCCTTACGGTCGGTTTGTACACTACGCGGGAGACGGTTCACTCGATACTTTATTTTACACCGATGCTCCCGTAGGTGAAACACTGAAACGTTCGTGTTTGCGACACGGCGACGGTGATCGGATGGATCACGACTGAGGTCGTCGTCGACCGTTTTGGGCGGTGCTGTTTCTAATATGTTAAACGTTTTCTATGTCGCCGCGTATCTATCGTATTGTTGGCGAGGAGACGGGTGGACGGACAGTGCCAAGGAGATCGCGACGGATATTCCCGCGAATCCGACACAAACTGGTTTTTGCATTTGCAACACGCCCGTCGCGGCGCCGGCAATAATAATAATATAATATACTTTTATAATAATATTATAGCTACTTAATATTATACTTATTATTGTTGCTGCGTCCCGCCTTCGGTTAAACGAGGGGGGATTAGACCTCTCTAATCTCTTCGAATTTAAACCCAGTCCTTGCAAAAAAAAAAACTTTTTCATATCATGAGTTCAATGTGTAAAATAATAAATAAAACTATACACGTTATTAAATTATATTATATAATATATAGATAATATAGTATAATAATTAATAATATACTTATTTGTATATTGGATGTAAATGATAATAGTATTTTAAATTATTCTAATTTTTGCATATTTACAATGAAACACACGACAATATAAATTATCATTGGTTCTTTTTTTTGTAAGATGTGTTAGAAGAAATAAAACGTAAAGAAAGTCTACAATATCACAAAATAAATTCAGTGATCTAAAACGTCATCTAGAGTTATTATAATATAGACACTATAAACATTAAATAATCGAAATTATTAATTAAAATTAGTGTGTACAACTATCGAAAATTTCAAATGTGTTTATTGTAGAATAAAAAATGTTCAAGTTCTACTTTTTGAAGACGAGGGGCATGAACTGACTTATTTTAAACTTGATTTCACAGGACCCCTGTAAATTGCTGTAATTAAAATTATTATATATGCCTATTAAAGAAGTGTGTGGCCCAACGTCTTATCTCGAGCTTTGATCTTCTAGAACTAACATTTATGTAGCTCAAAATAATGTTCTATAGTCAAGCCCATATTGACGTTGTACCTAACCGTAAACATAAATATAAATTTATGCCGTTACGAGTCATAATTTGAATAATATTATTTATTAAATATATTAGTGGAGTAGACACCAGTAATTTAGCTGTTGCACCGTCGAGACTGCTAGCTGCACTCAGCCTTATATAGGTACACGCCATGCATCGCCGTCGCTGCAGCAAGCCTCGTGGCGTACAAGTCTGTAACGAGGACAGCTGCAGATGTGTCTTAGTTTTTCGGCGCTCATTCAACACAATAATACAATGCACGTACACATGCATAATAATAATATTATAAACCTTCTTCCCTCCGGTACCGGTTAGTTAAGACGGTCGCTGGCAGTGAAGGGTCGTCATTTGGTAGGGGTTGAAAAGGACAGATGAAACGCTCGGAGCGTGCGCGCGTATATGAATTATCATCGTCCTTCTTGTAGGCTAATAATTCAGGTACTGCAGAAGGCACCTACCGCCGTCCGCCACCGCCGTCGTCGTTACCAATCCGTCTAGAAGGGCACGTTCTAAACACTGCAGCAGCAGTAAGGGAGTACCTTACGACGAGTGTACGACAATTGTAAGACGTTTTGGCATTGTGTTCGCGGGTTCCCCTCTTATCCATCCCATCACCCTTCGACCGTTTTTGGCGTATTAACCGCGCAAACCAAACAGGATTTAATTTTAACGACTGTTTTGCGCGCTACAATAATCAAGCGTCGCCGTTATTCATCATAATATTTATATCATACAAAATAATACATTATATTATCATATACGTAAAAAATTGCATAATAATGCATATTATAGGGATAATTCTAGACGATAAGTGTTATAGATAGTAGGTAGTATGGTAAAATAATGTGCAAATAGAATATATTACATGATATTATATCGATATAAGTAGAAAATATTATTATTATTATTATTGTGCGTGTGGTGATAATATTGAATTATTTGAATTATAGGGACCAACCACCCGCGGTTTAAATAATATTATTATGGTTCTTTAGACGCCGCGACTGGTGTGAACAGCGTCCGGGCCGAAGGCAGCCGTACCGGCGCGGCCAGACAAAAAGCAAGCTGTTCACGTGCCGGAACATCTGCTGCTCTTCCTGGACGCCCGGTGTCTAATCAACTGTTGTCGCGGCGGCAGGACGGACACCCAATGAAATTTCACCGCTAACCGATGCGGCGGCGTCGGTCAGCAGGACGTCCGTAAAATAATAACATGAATACATGATGCAAGAACATTAAAAAAAATGGTCTTCTTGAAACTAAAGATGTGTAGTATGTAAGGGGTGAGTGGCAATATCAATAATATAATAATATAAGATTATACACAGCACGCGAACCAATACTATGCAGAGCAATAATTATACAATGTATATTATAACACTATAGGTACTTATAATTGGTATTTTATAAAAACATTAAACGCCTTTTGGTTTTTTATACTCCAAGTCAAAGTTCTAACTCATTTACTACCTATAGTCCTATACCAACATCACTACTATTCATTTATTCCCCTACAAACGTAATCCACTAAATTTCTTACAAAATTAATGCACGCATGGAAGCAACAATATATGTAAAAAAGCTACTTCTGAATTTGTTTTATGAGAACTGATTAATCACGATATAAATTTCTAAAGAAACCGCATATTCATTTTACACTTACTTCTAAAAAAAAAAGAAACTCCTATAATGAAGAACAATCGATGGTTTTGTTATTAATATTATACTAGCTATCACCATCAGCAGGGATTTATGAGGATTGTATTTTATAACACTTAAAAACGTTTAAATATACATTATCATTTATTCTTTAATAGAATCTTGAAAATTTATGTCAATAAAATATGTAATTAGAATGGCATGCACAATGCACATAAAATTCACATGCATCCCAAAAGAAATGTTATCATGTTAAGCTTTCTCTGCTATATTAATTTTGTTGTTTTCTTAAAAGTAATTTGCAAATGCACATAAGTAATATTAGTATTATTGTAAACAAAATTAAAAACTTATAATTTTTTCTATAGAAAATTAAATATAAGTATTTTATGATTATATAAGTTATAATCATATAAATCACAATTTAAATAATAATATTTACTAATCATATTAATACAGTGTATAAAATAATAAATAAATCTAATTTTTTTGTAAATTCAATTGGCACCTATTCAAAAATTAATTAAATTTAGTTTTTAAACTATCAACCGAACTACCCTTATCTGAGAAAATTACGTTGAGCGTAGCATTTTAATATTAATTAAATAGATAATGATGTATTATAATGCAAAGAAAAAATCAATAATAGATAAATAAAATATAAATATTACAAGTCTTAAAGAATTTAAATAAAAATATGTACTAAACAATAATAACTATAATTTTGACTGCTAAGTAGGTGTTTACGTAAGTTATGCAGTATGCTTTAAGTTATATTATAATAATTTTGTCTGGCTATTCAATTATACAAACATTTTGTGATATAAAACTTTTATCGATATAAATTATACAACTATTAATTATTTAGATGTTAGATCTAGATGTATTGATATGATAAGTGTATCTGTATCAATAGTTGCTTATATAAAGGGGTCAAAAGGTAACAGAGCATGCGCTACTGTGTTTGGGAAACTCCCAAAATTGATTGTTTCGCCCCAGTTTTGTATTTTCTCCTCGAAATTCTTCATAACACAACAAGTGTTTTTGTAGACAACATCATCTACATCATTGAAAAAATATGTTTCGTCAATTATGTTTTTACCTCCCTTTACTACTATCAAAACACAACAATTATTGCAATTCGACTTTAAAAGGTTGATAATTATCTACAACACAAACACATTTAATGATGAAAAAGGTAAGTTAAAATAATAATACGATACATTTAATCCATAAAAACTGTAGCATAAATACAATTATTCTAAGCCATATGTTATCTATATATAGGTAACATAAAATTATATATATATAACATCACTAATTGATTCATAATTATTATTGTTTACCTACTTTTAGAATTTTGCTATGTATGAATGAATATATAGAGGTACAATATTTATTTTTACGACAGATGAAATAATTAAATCAAATATTATTTCATTTTTATTATTTTATGTCATGTTGTAATATTATTCTTGTATTAATTATTACCTCTTAAATAATTCATTGTATTTTAAAAATTGTAATTTATAAGATTACGCTTTGAGTAAATACAATACACACATTATAATGAGTAACTAAAAATAAAATATTTACAAAACAAATACTATATACAACAAAATAACATTTAATATTGTAGAGATAAATGTATTAATTAATTATATTTCATATTCAATTAATAAATAATAAAATACTAAAATGTAAAGTTTATTGAAAATTAAGTAATAACAATACAAACGTTTATACTTTTTAGATACCAGATGTATAATTCATAACACGTAGGCATATCTTACGTGCTAGAGCACTACTAATATTTAATTGCAGTTTATAATTTTATATTTTTGTTGTTTATAAACGTAGCATATTATATTATTAAACTAATAAAATATTATGAACTTTTTAACAAAAAAGTAATTAAAATTAATTAACTCAACCATAATTATGGGAAGTTTTAAAAGTTAAAATAAAATATTTGGTATATATTGATTGGAAATTTAAAATGTAATTCATTTTACATTCGTGAACAGTAGTAAATCGAGTTGTAAATTTTTTATGAAAATAAGTATAAAATATATTGACAAAAATTAATGTATTTATTTCTATAATATACTAAAAATCTACAAAATTACAACCTATATATTATATACTCAGTTTATACTGTATTGATTGAAGAGAGAACATTCGTCATTAATTAACAAACTTTAAGCTCAATTTTTTTACCTAACTATTGAAGTGTAAGTATATATAGACATTGGTATATATAAGAGTATATATTGTTAAAAAATTTTTGATTTGACTTTATTTATATTTAATTTGATCGATTGCTCACTAAAACTACTTTATGCTTTAGATAAAAACA